AAAGAATGGCGAAAAAACGTTCACAGAGAAGACAACAACAATTGTCACTTGCACGAAGCAAGATTATACAAAAAACAAATGACCCCGAACATGAAATACCTTCACGAGTGCGTCGAGGCGCAAGCTGTCATCCAAAGAACAGGAGGGTTCAGCTAGCGCCACACTGCAATCTTTAAAGGTCGTTTTCTCAAAATGGGTTTTTTCTCCTACTCTTGAGTCCGAAATGTGCACTTCAGTTGCACTTACATACACCAAACCTTCCAGTTATATTCCTATCAATATTATGAAGGCTTTTACAGAAGGGTTTGTTCATATAATAATAATAATAATAAATGGGATTTATATAGCGCTTTTCTAGACCCAAAGACGCTTTACATTACGAGTAAGGTCGACAAACAAAACAAGAACAAAAACACAAACAAAAACAAAAACAATTACGCTTATGTCCAAAGAAAAGGACAACCAGATGCTCACATGAAATTATGATATTTATATTATCAACATGATCCTTATTTATGAATCATAGTGGTATATTGCAAACTTATGATCATCACCGATATGACCAGAGCACTGCTTTGAACAGTCTTCTGTTGACGTTTTTGAGCCCGCTTCAGCTGGCAGCTGTGAATTCATATTTACACAGATAGATTTACATGACATGGATCTATTGTCTGCACCATCTCACCCGAAGCTGTTGTCCCTTCTGTTGGTTCAGCGTCTCCCTGGCTGCCCTGCAGTGCAGGTGGCTGCTGCTGCTGCAGCGCCCGGTCTGCCCACAGGGGGTCCGTGTTGTCAGCGGACAGAGGGACCTGCTCCCACAGCTTCGGGGGTCGGGCCGCAGGCGCTGTTGCCCCCTGAGCTGCATCGCTGGACACAGAGTAGCAAGAGTCCGACAGAGAGCTCCCGCTCACTGAATAGAAACCTTTACAAAGTGAGGAAAATAAATTCAGTTTGCGTGTTACTTAATATATCCATGTGACAATTTGCAACAATTGTTTTGAATAATGTGGCCCAGGAAAAATGCTGCCAACATTCCTGATCTCTCACGTTGTGATATAGTATTCTGCCCATCATGAATTATCTTAGTTATGGATTGTTTTTACTAAGATGTACTGTTGTTGCTGACTTGTTGGATTATTTGTATTCTTTTGTGGCCTGCTCACATATTTTACTAATATAATGTTTGAATTCATACGCTGTTCCATCTGGTCGGTCTTTCCTAGGGAAGAAAAGGTTTTCTGTAGCAACAGTGTAGCTTTTTATATAACAACAAATGGGTAATAAGTAAGGTAAAGTTCGGACTGGTTAAACAAAGACACCACCTACAGAAACGCAAACTTCCTAAATTCCAAGAGAAAGGCGTCACAGTACTGGATCCACTGTTTGACTAACACTGTTTGAATAAGTTATATAAAGATACAGTGGAGCAAAAACACAACAGCTGTGAAAACATGTTATATCTCCAAAGAAATCACAAAAAACCTTCATTTTGATTGAATATTTGGTCCAATTAAAGTTTGAACTAATTCCTTTCAGGTTCGAGTTGAATTCATTCATTTGTTTTCAGATAGCCTCTACAAGAAAGTAAAGAGAAGTATTAAAACAGGGTTGGTATGAGTGCATAGCAGGGAGAGGAGTGTCTGAGTCGAGTGTAGTGACACAGAGACCACAGTTACAATGAGAGTGGAGAACAGTGTAGCAAGAAAAGCTGGGAAGTTTGACAGCGAGAGAGAGAGAGAAACGAATGAGTCAGAGTGCAAGCAAACAGAAAACAAAAAGAGTATGGTTAATGTTTAATGGGACTTACACAAGGTGAGCGGGAGTGATACCAGAAGGTGACAAACTGTTCAGGTCAGTGCTGTGAACCACACATTGTTGACATCTGAACTGTGTGTAAGTGTGTGTTTACCTGAACTAGGCCTGGAGTCACTGTCCAGATGGACCGTACCACTGGGGTCTGGTGTCGGGGGAGAGAGCAGGTCAGATGGGGCGTCCCAGGACAGAGTAGACCAACGTGAGTTGCTCCCCCTTCCAGATGATGAGTGGACCGTCCCGTCCACTGAATGACTGCCACATTCCTCAGGGCTGATCCGACAGGGCAGTACCACTATATCTGAGGGGGAGGGAACCTGAGAAAACAAAACAGGTGGCATGTGAGGCCTGAGGAATATTTACAAAAGGAAATATGACAATATCTTTGACCACAGTATCTAAATGCTATGACTTTGATTGTGTGCAAGTAGAGCATATTAGTTTTTAAATAAAAGGCAATAACGTGTGGTTAATTGAACCCCAGTACAAGTATGTAAGGCAATACGAGTTGACCAAAAGTGTGCAAATACTAAAAGTAACTAACAAGTCACCTTGTTACAATATGTGCAGAACACTTGGGAAGCAAAGCTGGTTCTATTTATAACAACAGATTGCATACCACAAAACTGATTTATTTATGATACTGAAAAAAATGTATGCAAATTATTTACTGTGTTTTCTTTCCACAAGCAATATTGAAGTAGCATTGTTTTCCCATACTGTTACTTCTTGTCTTTTATTAAATCAAATTGTTATTTTTAGGCTTGGACCGCAGTAGCTTGTAGGGGTCACAAGACATTCCACCAATTTATCATCCTTTAGATTTTATAAAAAACCCTTCGCCATGTTTTTTGAAAAAACATTATATATCATAACAAATATAATTATGGAGATATGAAATGACCTAACCAGGGATAAAAGATTTTTCCTGCACATTTCTCGGTCACATTTAACAGCAGCAAAACTATAACAACAGTTAACACAACTTGTGCAGTAGTAAGGTTTATTTACTTAGATTCATCCGGAATTGTCTACACTTTTTTGATTCTTCATCACCAGGGAAGAAAAAAAGATTAGAAGCAAAATAAAAATGGTCATTTTCTGGGTGAATTAGTCCATTAAGCGATAAGACCACTACTTTAAAGACACAATTCCCTCGGTACTGTTACTGCATGTCTGAGTAGAGGCACAGTCAGACTGGTGTGAAAATACATGTAGGGTTGAACATCCATGATATCATTTACCAGACACGCTCCATGACATCACACTGATTACCGGAACAGCCAGGAATGAGGCCCCAAACACACTCACACACAACAGCAACAATAACAATCAGTCAGTCAAGTTAAGCAAAGTGCCTCCATTTCCTAGATTAGTAAGTGCTTGGTGGAGAAACCCCCCGCCTCCAATTATCCTCCAAATCCCCAACCCCTCCAGGAAGGTAGCCAAGAGAAGCGCCTGCATTAGACTGATGGAGCCCGGACAACAGAAACACTGTGAGTGGCACTGATCAATCCTCTTGTTCCTGAAGAAACAATACAGGTAGTGACTCACTGCTGGGGTGACAGGAGAGGAGAGGGGGGGGCTTCAGAAGATAAAGGGAGAAGACAGATGACGTAACAAAGAGCAGCCGGAGCGGCAGAAGGGAAGGGGGATTGAGTGAGGAGAGAAGAGGGACGGAAGAAAAGAGGTGGGAGAAGGAGTTACAGACTTTGGCTTGTCCTCGGCTTATCTCCTCTCTTTCAGTGTCCAGATTAGCAGCTCGAACTGTCCCCCTGATTTTTATTTTTACAGTGAATCTAAAGTAATTGGAGGCTGAGTGGGTGACCAAAAAAAGGAAAAGTGAGAGGGACCAGAATAAGAGACAGAAACTGAGAAAGGGTGAGTCACTGAGTGAGTGAAGGCGTCGGAGGAAGGGTGAGTTGGGGAGGGGGCGAACGGTTGCCGGGTGAGAGAGAAGGGCATCTTGAAGGACCCCAACCTCCCCCACACTCCCCTTGACAAATAATACCCCCTTCCCCACTATCTGTAATACCTACATGAAGGTGACGCGTGCTCTACACTAATCCATAGCTATCAGCTGCTCGCTCTCAACTCTCGCTATGAGAAACATGGCTTCTCCTATAATCATAGTAACTGATAAACTATACATGCCCTGTACACAACACCCGTCCGCCAAATTATTTTAACTCATTACTCAGTCTAGCAGAGACGACACTAGATCCATTCTTGTTGAACTCTTACTTTGGCATGTCCGCACTAGGCTGTCACAAATGTCTCTACTGATGGAGAATTACATTTTATACGGATATCTTTCTAAACTGAGCATGTCTGGCATTTGTCATGGTGCACGTTTTAAACTAGAAGCTATAACTCCTAATACTTTCTATTTCAAAAAACATAGAATTAATCCTTTCAAGAGCAAAATATATTCTGTCAGCCGAATGCAATCTATTCACTATTGTAAATATATCCAGCTCTTAAAGTGAAGTGTTGTGCATGTCTTGTGCCTTATTAGTTTTCACACTTTTCAGCATACTCTTCTTGCTAATGGCGTCCCGTACTGAATATTGACACATGAGACCAGTGCATGATCAAATCATGAGGAGTTCTCGTCGCGCTGACAGACAAGCACTGCACGATGCGGGGGGACCTGAAACATCGATCTTGCTTCATGTCAGGGTAGCGCCATGCACAGCCCTCTGCGATCAGGTCGATTTCAGTCCAAAATGACAGGAAATCAATCGGATCTGAACAGTAATGCCTACAGCCATCGCAGCTGCACAAGAGGACAGTATACCTCTAAACTCTGGCGCGGTGATACAAGATGGAGATGCATTATGTCATTACAGGGAGGAAAAATGGGCAGCGGGTTTGCCAGGTTGAGGCCGACATGGTTTGGTCAGACAGAGTTGAGTGCGTGGGATGAGAAGGTATGGCGATTATGTGTTGCAAAATATACGCGCTGTTTTGAATGGTTTCATGCACCTTATGAATGCAGCGCTTCTTTGAATTATATAGGTACAGGGAAGCCTCATCTTTACATCGACCATCTACCCTGACTTGTAGAGTGAGGATACGCGCTCCTGTCTCTTTGGTTCTGAGTCGGGATCCCTCTGGAGTCACTGAAAAAACACCTCCTCTGTAACGCTGATACTCATGTGCAGTGAAAGATTCACCTGAGCGCTTCAGAAAAGCAGGAAGCGCGTATCACTCCTCTTGTTAGGGGGGAGATGGAGATGTAAAGCGTGGGCTGCTCTTTATATTTCAATAGCCACATTAATAATGTCCATGAAACAATCAACACAGCGGCGGGGTAGAGCAAGGCAGCAGCTTCTCACCACGCCACTCACTCCTGTGTCTGCCAAACGCGTCGCGCCTCAACATGGCCAACCGCTGCCATTTCCTCCCTGCTGTAATGACATAATGCCACTATTAGCAGGAGTTGGGGTTGCTTGTTGCAGCTGGCGATGCGCTGTAGCATTATTGTTCAATCGACCCATGCATTTTCGCTGATTATATTTCCAGAGGGGGCTGTGCTGCCCCTCCCTGACATGAAGCAAGATCATGTTTCAGGCCCCCCACCCATTTTTTTCTGTCAGTTCTCCTATGATTTGATCATTGCACTGGTCTCTGTGTAACATTATACCGCCAATGTGCAACTACATTATGTTGTTAAGGGATAATATGGAGAGATGAAGGACATTTTTGGGAGATATAAGGAAAGGACATTTTTGGGAGGATATAGGGGAGCTTTTGAAAGGGTTAATTCATGTCTTTAAATAGACAGAATAAAGTTAGCAGGCTCTTTACAAGTGCACAATGATAAACACATGGTCTTTTTATGTCTCAGTATATAGAATTGGCAGTGAGTGGTGATTTTGTGACAGCAGTGCGTACATGCCAGTAAGAGTTGCAACAAGAATGGATAGTGTGTCTTCAGGGCTGAGGATGGAGTTAATTATGGCGGACGTGTTGTGCTGTTGTGGTTCTGTGTGGGAGGAGAAGGCGAGCGAGAGTTGCAGAAGCGAGCAGCTGTAGCTATGGTGAGCACGGGCGCTGGCTTGCTGATATACAGAAGTGGAGAGGGTGGGAATATTTGTCTAAGGGGAGTGTGGGGGAGGTTGGGCGTTCCTCAGATGCCCTTCTTCGCTTCACCCGGCCAACGTTCGCCCCCTCCCAACTCAACCCCTTCCTCCGGACGCTTCACTCACTCAGGACTCACCCTTTCCTCAGTTTCTGTCTCTTTATTCTGGTCCCTCTCACTTTTCCTTTTTTGGTCACCCACTCAGCCTCCAATTACTTTAATTCACTGTTCCAAAAAATAAAAATCAGAGGGACCAGTAATCAGAGACTGAACTGAGATAGCTGGATCACTGAAAGAGAGGAGATAAGGCTCTGAGGAGGGCGAAGCCTGGGAAAGCATCTGTAGACCTCACTGTCTCCCACACTCTTTTACAATATTCCCCCCCACCCTCCCACTTCTGTAATATCCTACAAGCCAGCCGCCCGTGCTCACCATAGCTACAGCTGCTCGCTCTGCAACTCTCGCTCGCTTCTCCTCCCACACAGAACCACAACAGCACAACACGCCCGGCCAAATATTTAACTCATCCTCAGCCTGAAGACACACTATCCATTCTTGTTGCAACTCTTACTGGCATGTACGCACTGCTGTCACAAATCCCACTCACTGCCAATTCTATATACTGACATAAAAAGACCATGTGTTTATCATTGTGCACTTGTAAGAGCTGTAACTTTATTCTGTCTATTTAAAGACATGAATTAACCCTTTCAAAAGCTCCCCTATATCTCCCAAAATGTCCTTCCCTTATATCTCCCAAAATGTCCTTCATCTCCTCCATATTATCCCCTAACAACATAATGTATTGCACATGGGGTATAATGTTACAGAGACCAGTGCATGATCAAATCATAGGAGGCTGACAGACAAATGGGTGGGGGCCTGAAACATGATCTTGCTTCATGTCAGGGAGCAGCACAGCCCCTCTGGAAATATATGAGGAAAATGCATGGGTCGATTGAACAATAATGCTACAGCCATCGCAGCTGCACAAGCAACCCACCTCCTGCTAATGAGTGCATTATGTCATTACAGCGGGAGGAATGGCAGCGGTTTGCCATGTTGAGGCCGGATGGTTTGGTCAGACAGGAGTGAGTGCGTGGTGAGAAGTGCGTGCTTGCTCTACCCGGCGCTGTGTTGATTGTTTCATGCATTATTAATGTGCTATTGAAATATAAAAGACAGCCCACGCTTTACATCTCCATCTCCCCCTACCAAGAGGAGTGATACGCGCTCCTGCTTTTCTGAAGCGCTCAGGTGAATCTTTCACTGCATATGAAAGTATCAGCGTTACAGAGGAGGTGTTTTTCAGTGACTTCAGAGGGATCCCGAGGCAAGAACCAAGAGACAAAAGCTATCTCACTCCACAAGTCAGGGTAATGGCTCTCCGTGTAAGATGATGCTTCCCAATACTAAACCTAATTTCAAGAAAGGCTGCCTTCCATAAGAGTGCACACAGCATTGCAAATGGGTATATTTGCAACACATAATGCATATATCATGGCTTAGGTACTAACAGTAACCTTTATTAATCAATTCATCTCCTGAGTATCTCATTAGTTATTATTCATTTGTTCTATTAAACAGCTTCAAGTGTGAAGAATAATCAAGGAAATGTTATCTAATGCTTTCTTGTTTCCAACCAACAGCCAAAGACTCAGAGATATACAGCTCCCTTTACTGTTGACAAGAGAAGGCTGCACACTTTCACATTTTAGAAGCTGATTGATTTTCTGTCCATTGATTAATCGACTGATTGCTGCTGCTCTACATGTGAAGTAAACCCTGCAGCACAATCCCTACTTCCTCAACTTCTGTGCTTGATGTGCTTGATGTGCTTGATGTGCTTGATGTGCTTTCTTCAGCGAGGAGAACTTCTTTTTTTGGACAACAAACAGTGTTTCAATATTCAGCCTCCGGACCCACTCTAAAGGCAAGAGGAGCTGCTGAAAAGTGTGAAAACACTAAAAAGGCACAAAACATGCACAACACTTCACTTTAAAGAGCTGGATCTATTTACAATATAAATAGATTGCATTCGGCTGACAGAATATTCTTGCTCTTGAAAATTATTCTTTTTTTTTCTGAAAACAATGTTTTTTAGGCGTTATAACTTTGGTTTAAAACTGTGTCCATCACAAATGCCAGAGCTCATCCCACAGTTAGAAAGATATCCTTCTAAAATCTATTTCTCCATCATAGATGACACCATGGAGCCATAATCCCGGCATGCCAAATATGGATTTGCACAGTCCATCTCCTGCCCTCGCTCTGCTTTTAGAGAGAGAAATGGTGAATCGCATTTCAAGAGTTTAATTCCCAAATGAAAAAAACCCCAGAACAAAGCAGTTGTTGGAGTACAGCGCATAATGTGATGAGTCATCTAATCCTCAGTTTACTAAATGATTATATATCTTTATTTAAACCCATGTTTCTCATAGCAATAAGTAGTGAATTTCAGGTAAAATGATATATAACGTGTTCAGCGATAAAACATTAGGTGTAAGCATCACTTTCCACCTTCATGGTAGTAAATAAACATCTGCTTTCTCATCCCAGTTTTCTCTCCCGCTGCTGCACAGATCAATCTAGATGTGCTCACTTTTGAAACAACAGAAACATCTATTTGTCTGCACTTATGCAAATGTTATGTTTGTGTTGGCGGAGGTCGGGCTGGGCGGAGGGCTGAGTGCCAGCTCTGCTACACTGGCAGCTCCCTTCAGAGGTGAGAATGAGCAAAGCTGCTCGGCCTCTCTGCAGGATATCTCAGCTCCGCAGGGGGAGCCACAGAGGAGATGTGGGGAGGTGGGCGGCGAGGAAGGCAGAACATTATGAACCACACTTCCCTGCAGAGGCCCTCAGATGGGAATGCCATTTCTGTCCCTGCTCTGATAAAACTTGCAGCCAGCTATGATTTAATATCATTTTGTAACATAAAATACTCCGTTCTGCAAAAGGTGACCTCATGTTTTAATGTGCTACTAGCTGCTGACTGATACAGCTCATTAGTATCAAAAATACACATACATACGAAAAGTGTTTGTTACTTTCTCAGAATAACAATAGAATATTATTTATGCAACCAAGGATTTGATATCTAAGGTAAAACACTCCCTACACCAGCAGACCATGAACACAACACGACATGTCATGTCGCTGCTCCGTCAATTCTAGAAATATCTAAATATAATCCATGACAGACTGATTAACACACACATGACACACTCCTTGTACAATACAGGGTATTAGTCAATCCTTTTTTTTAATGATTACTTGGTCTCAAAGAGCTCATAAAAAGTTTGCCTATAGGGTAGTAAGGTGTAAGTTATTTGTAAAATTGGTGCCTCAAGTTACAATAAAAAGGTCATAGCACCTAAAGCGTAAACTACTGATGTATTTTAGTATTAAAATGTATATATAGTTGGTCCAAAACATGGTGAAAAAATAACAATAATCGATAGTTTCCCAGTGCGACATTATTAGGGTGCTTGTCTGGTCCAACCTAGTCCAAAACCAAACGTACTTCACAGAACAGGATCCCAGTTCTCTGGTTTAAGAAGACTTAGCTCTGAACTCCTGTCATTTCTGCACGAAAAATAACTTGAATGATTATTCCTCTTTTAAATAGCTGCTGTCAGTCCTCCAGTGGACTAATTTGTTCAGCTCAAGATTCAGGATTTCCTGCCAATGCCCGTTTTAGATCATTTATTCAGCTCCCATTTCTAACCAGAAGATCTTATTGGCTGCCCTCACAGTCACCTTCTTCCTCTCCTTTCAACTGATTTCCCATCTTGAAGATTTAACAGGTTCGAACATAGTTCAGGTTCATAAGGGACGAGACCAAAGACAGCCTCAGTCAGTATCTGGCCTCCAGGATGCGACCTGCTCACATCCTGTCCTCCTTTATTACATGTCAACCCACATTCCTCATGTCCCAACACAAAAAGACCTGCGGTATGCATTTCAGGACGACGTTGGAAAAAGGATTACTTTATATGAGGGTGTTGGTGAAGAGCTCACATCCTATCATTTGTGTCACTACACTGGAACATTCAGGATATCACAATAAAAGATCAGCACTGCATACATAGCCCGGGTGTTGGAGTACCTTCATTTTTTATTCTGATTTGGATGCAAACTCGGTGCCAAAGTGACCTTTACAGTTGATGAACCAAAAAACTGCAGCAGTTTGATGACTACAAGCCATCAAACTGCTGGCTTGTAGTTTGATACCTGCACCCTCATTTAACGCCTGTCTCCCATAACATCCTGTTTCTAACCTTGAGGGAGCCAGACAGAAGCTGGTCTGTGCCCTGACCTCAATGACATTTGCTCCATGTTACGGTCACACACACACTGCTGCTGTGGAAAATGATCAGGCTGCATGCATGGATGTTCCCTAGCACCATCTCAATCACTAGGGTGCACAGCCCTTGGCACAGGCATGAGCCACCGGGCAGCAATACAATCTGTCTACTGAGCCGCAGAGGGACTGGCTTGTTGGCAGATCACCATCATCCCCGCATTCATATTTAATAATCTCGTCATGTAGAGCTCCGTGACAGACGCACTGACTGACCTGTTGCCTGCGGGATGTCGTAGAGCCATGCTCGGCTTCCGAGGCGGTGCTCCCCGGAGCTCTGATCCCCTCCTCCGCTGGTAGCTCTGCGGCGTTGGCGGCAGCAGAGGCTCGGTCCTCCAGAGCAGCGTCCACCATCTCCAGGTGTTTGCACCTGAGCAGCTCCAGCTCCACCACACCGGCCAGAGTGGCTTTGAGTCGCTCCACGATGCGGACACGTTCGCTGCCCGACCACAGCGAGTTCACGCAGCTGCGGCGTGCGGCCATCCTTGCAGCGGAGCCCGGGAAAGCGGAACCGGGGCGCACCGCTGACCACCGATCAGTGTCCGTGCAGTGGATGAGAGAAGTGAGTGGGCGCTACGGTGCAGCTCCACGTAGAGCAACAAGGGTCCGGACTTGCGAGAGCAACATACTAAGTAACCGCTAAAATGACCGCGATAAAGAAAATATAATGACCATCTCTAACGTGCCATGCAGCCCACAGCCTCAGGCAGCCCTGCTTACTGGCACAAGAACTGAATTAATGAATCCACCGGTACACTGAGGGAACATCAACGAGACCTGAACTCATTTCCTGTTGACACGATCCTTCAGTTTTTAAATGTCACTTAAAGCCTCCCGGTCCAGTGGAGTCACCATGGTGCTCCAGTACGCTACGTCCCTATGAGACAATGCAACAGACGGAGGGAGATAACGTTACATGTGGGAGCAGCGGGAGGAGGAGCCGCGGCACCGGAGCTGAGCACCCATTGGCTGGGGAAGTTTTTCGAATGGACACATGGAAAAAATCCCCCCGAGTGTCCAACTCCACTGTACAGGATGCCAGAGGGGACAAATACTCACATTCCCATAGTGTTCCCATGGGGGTTAAAGTGACCTCAGCATGCTATGGAGCTACAAAAAGGCGTTTCTCTTGTAATAATAAAATTAATAATGGCTTTAGGACGGGCCGGCCATCAGTGACGAGGGCCGAGGCTGACGCGTAAAGTAGCACCCAATAAACTTGAACACGATGACATACAAGATGTTATGATTTATTCAAATTTCAATTGAAACTCGTGACATTTATTTAATCTCAAATGCTCGTTTCTAGGTCGTGTTGTCTGCCCTTTCTATTTAATCATTATGTATTTCATTTACATTTGTTTTCTTTTGTAAAATAGGCCTGTTTGCAGCACAGATACATGATAAATTCCTGTATATTTTAAATGTATGTACATTTTTGTGAAAGTGTGTACAATCAGAAAAGATTGCATTGTTTAATCAAATTAGTAAACTAATTGACTCACCATCAGCGACACTGATACACAGGCAGGAAGTAGTTCTTCTTCTTCTCTCGTTCTGTTATTTTGATGGATGCAAACTCTTTTCAGCCAATTATATATATATTTTCTACATCTTTGACAGGTGCAGTGTACTTTGCTCTAGTGCCACATTCATCCAGCAGAGGGTGATCTTTATCCACAACACTGCATTTCATTATATTTCCACTGGCTGGTGGCTCAGTGTTTCTTATCTGAGTTAAACTGTAAGTACATCCAGTTGCTGGTATATATATATATATATATATATATATACAGTGAAGTTTAAAGTATGAGAATCCAGCAGTATAATTAAACAGCAGCATAAACTGCAGCCTACCAGATAATCACACAGTTGAATCAACATCTCTCTATAATAGTTTCAACAAAAACGTAAGATTATATATATCATGAAGGTAAGATTTAACACTAAGATGTTGTCAAATTAATTTAAATGTAATCTGTGGATGCATTTTTACTGGCAACTGTTTGAAATAGTGTAACATGGCACTTTTAGAAAGAGAAACCAGGAAGCACGGTGAAACACCAAATCTAGAGGCCTTACTCTATTTATAACTACATCCAATCTATATATAATGAATACTATTTAAACAACGGGTATATGTTTAATCTTAAACCTTAAACCAATGTTAGCACAGGAGAGAAAGTATTTCAGCTCAAGGTCCACTAAAGGCTTTGATCATGATCTTTATCCGCAGAAGCTATCGCCCACCGGAGGTGCAAATTCAGGTCTTTAAGAAAACACATTGCGTCTTTTACTTAAGAAAATAAAGTGTGAAAATAATCTTTAACGAGTAAAAGGGAAGATTAAAACTTTTACTTAATTAAAAGTATAAAACTATTAACATAAAGTTCCCATTACATTTAATCTTAATGTGTCATATTAGATTTCTTTGTAGATTATATTTTTTTATTAATCTGAATCTGTAAAATTACAAAAACTAATAAAACATTTATATATTTTTCAAAAGTAGCAGAAAGTAGGAATATAAAGAACCAAATCAGTACCTTAATATTGCACTAAAGTAAAATACTTGAATTGATGTACTTAGTTACGGTCAAATTACTGTCGGATTCAAAGTACTATAAATGCTCCAGAATAAATGCTAGAGGAAGACAGTATATAATGGTATATCAACTTTGAACACAAAAACAAGAAAATGCAAACAAGAAAAATTGAAACATAATTTCATCTAACTTTTGCAGTACTGCGCCTGTAAGAGATTTAAAACTTCAGAATCCTCAACAACGCTCGTCAGTGTTAGTATTGATCATTGATCTCAGACCAGCTGAAACAAGAGTAAAGCAAATGTGGCTATCAGACAGTGAGGTCAAAGGTCAGAGTGGAATTCAGAGCAATCAGATCTCTTGATGAAAGTGGCACTGGCCTCTGGACTCCGTTTTCGTCTGAATCATTAATGTCATGTGCTGTTTATGCTCTTCACATGCCCTCATTACACTCATGTTTGTACCCCTCTGTGGGATTATGGACCCAATATCACCAGTACATGTGACAATGCCCGGTGAGGTAACCAGTATGTGTGATCTGCAGCCCACCAGCACGAGGAGTGTGTCTTTGTTTCTTAGTGTCACATTTGGGACCCCTCCCTGCTCCTTCTCCTATAAAACAGCAGCTTTGGTAGCAGCTCAGTGGGGTTTGCTAGCTTCCACCCGAGGGGACATCACCGTCAGCCTGGGAAAGACTTTCGTCGCCTCCACCTTCACCATTGGTCTCTGCAAAGCGCCCTACGAAACTACGAAGAAATGGCACCTTTTGAGAAATCCATGGATTTGCTGATGCCCTTCAAGCAAAGGAAATGCCTGGGTGAGTCTCAATTTGTTATTTACATGTAAACCTCATAAGACTGAAGTGTCTAAATTAATGCACTTATTCTTTTTTAGAAACAAGAAAAGATGAAGTATGCAGCATTCGGTCCAAATTCCCCAACAAATTACCTGTGAGTTTGTTGCATGTAACCCTAATTCATTTAATCACCATAGTTTAACACTTTATATTGCATGTCAAGGCACAACAGTTGGCTTATTTCATGTGTTTTTTGTGTTCAGGTTATTGTTGAACGTTACGTCCGTGAAAAGAATCTCCCCCTTTTGGACAAAACAAAGTTTCTAGTTCCCTTCGAGCTCACCTTGGGTCAGTTCCTCTGCCTGCTCAGGTAAATGCTTTGTGCCACTGTGTGCTTGTAGAATAAACAGACTTTCTCCTTCTCACTTCTCTACCTACAGCTTGAGTTTGTTTAGCCTGTTTCTTCTCAATTCAACCCTCCATTCTCTCCACTTTCTCCTACGAGCTGTCAGATGTGTCATTGTTCTCCGCCTGCCTCCCTCTCTCCTGTTGTTGTTTTCTTCATCAATTTCTCTCTATCTTTCTTTTTCAGGAATAAGATTTCCCTGGAGTCCACACAGGCTCTGTTCCTCCTGGTGGCAGAGAAGAGCATGACCTGCATGTCCTCCAGCATGGGGGAGGTTTATTCCCACTACTGTGACGCCGACGGCTTCCTGTACATCACCTACGCCTCGCAGGACATGTTCGGAGCCCCTCACCCTGCTGCCAGCTCGACCTGCTGAGCCTGAAGCACATAAATAAACTTAGCCGATGCTGGGGACACCACATAGCAGTACGGCAAGGTGTTTCCAGTTTTCTGGCCCCAAACTGCATATCAGCCTACCTCAAACTGGACTTTTAAACACAGAAATCACTTTTTATTTTTAATGCTCTGACACAACAGCTAGCCTCAATTGACGACTCACACTGATGTTTAAAACATTGATTGTTTGATATTTAAGTCAGTACAGTTGTGATCATCTCTGTTAAAGAAATGTGATGTTTTGTGTCTGTTTTAAGTCTACACTGGTCAAAATCTCCATATGTGCCTTTCAGTTACCTCCAGACATTGCAAAGATACTTGTCACAGCTGTAATGCCAGTTCAGAGTAAAACCACCAACTTCTCTACTCTACACTAATGGGGTCAATGTCATGCTGGTAATCAGACTCCCTTTTAAGCACTTATGTCCTCCCTCCTCCTCCTCTTTCTCTGACTGCCTCTTCATTCTCCTACTTCCCTTCAAAATGTGAAACTGTGAGGCACTCACTGAAAACACGGATGAAAACCGAATGCTGCTCTGATTTGCTCTGTATCCAGCTGTCTGTATGACAACAAATAAATCCTTGTCCTTTTAATGTATTGACTTTGTGTGATTTTTAACTACACTTTATGAGAGGTGATTTGTTGTATGTACTGTTTACTGTTCATTAACACTCAAAACGATTTAAAAATGTTAATTCCTTAGGTGACAGCTCTGTTTTTAATTTGCAACCCAAATGTGTTTTGGTCATTTCATGGAGCTTCAGGGGTTTTAGGATTTGTTTTAGGCCACAGAGAAACAGTTTAATCCTTCATGTTAAATGAAAGCATAACAAAATACATTGTTTTATAACCTCTGAGGGCTTTCAAGTGATTAAGGCCCCACTGCATTTATCACAGTTGTGCGTTACCCTTTAGGAGTTCACTGTGCACTTTTGCTCACACATACAGGTGCCTCATTCCTCACCTGCCTCCGAGAAACAGCACTCCCTCCACATGACCGTGTTACATAAGCCTGAAACAGTCAACTTTCTGCAGGGGTTAGTGTGTCAGCGGGCCGGGGGGAGTATTTTTAGATGTAGAAGTGACCCAAAACCCAGAGAGAGGGAGAGAGGGGGGTAAAACAAAGAACAGAAAAACAGGGAAAAAGCTGCTCTCTGTAAACATGTGGAAGAAGAGATGGGAAAAAAGAGGTGGAAGGGGAAGATAGTGACGTGCTAACAGAGGAAGACAGGAAAAAGGAAACTGTGTATGGGAGAGATATACATTGGAGGGGGGGAGACAGCTAACCAAACACACAGGGACGAACAGTGACTTCACACCCCTGTGGGTATTTGAGCAGCTCTCTGACGATATCTAATCATAACAGAACAAGAGGGACCCTGTGGCAGGCTGTAAACTATTAAAAGCTGTCAGTGCTGATGCTCCTCACAACACTCTGCAGCGGACATTTACACAAGATTATACAAATAGCCACGGGCGGATTATGAGACAATGCCCCCCTGAAAAAAAAGACATGCAAAAGACCCGACACCTCTCAACAAAAAGGAGCATAACAAACTTTATAGTTGTTTAGCCTCTTTTGTGGTTGTTTTGGTATTTTTTTATTATCATTATTGTTGTCTGTGGTTGTGTTGCCCATTTTTGTAGTCGTTTTGAGTCTATTTATAGTTGTTTAGAAGTCGTTTTGTGGTGGTTTTTCCTATTTTCAGTCGTTTTTATTGTCTTTGTGGTGTCTTGTGTTTTTTTGCAGCTGTTTTGGTGTCTTTGTGCCTATTTGTAATGGTTTTATGATTCTTTGTGGTCATTCTGAGTATCTCCCTGGATGGTTCATGCCTCTTTTTTTTTTTAAACGCCTTGTTTCCACATTCCACATTTTACAAGATGTGAGGCACATT